TACATGAACTTAAATTGACCTCGTCAACGGACAGTCCCCAACACGCAGAACTCACACGACGAAGTCGTGTCACGTGATGCAATGCCAATTGAAACAATTTTACTGACGGGTCTGACTGACAGCGCGTTCACACATAACACCTGGATGAGCGACAGTCATTCTACTATTAGGATAACAACGGCAGCCAACCGACTAAATGTACCAACAAATCTCTTATCCCTCATAATGCGTTCAGACTAAAGCAACGACAACGGCCGTATGTTAGTCTTATCAGCACATTTACGTGTAGTTGTGTAAGGGTTAGAAAGACTGTCGCTCGTTCGAGTGTTTGATGTGAACGCGCAGTTACCAAACCTCGGACAAGGCTTGATTTAAAAGTAACAGAAAGACTACGAATATGATTATTTGTATGTCCCAAATTGTAACAGTAACCAGGCTATCATCTGAGAATTCTGAGAGCGGGCAAAAATCAAACACAACTTGGGGTGAGTCAACTACTTAATCCGGCATCGATATTTCTGGAAATAGTGATCCGAGTTCCTACTGACAAAAAGTTCAACAGGTGCTTCCGGCGACAGAGAAGAAGGCAGAGTAAGTTTTTCGAAAAATACGGCACAACAACAGACTGGGACAAAAAATCGGGATACACACAATCGAAATCGGGAAAATCGGGATGCTTGAGATTTGGGGCAAAAAATTGGGATATCCCGACTAAATCTTTTGTATGTCACAGTGGAAACAAAAACTAAAGTAGATCTTGAGAATGTCCCAAGTCAGAATGCCAAATCGATACTACTTCCATTATAGTTGAAAAAACGTGTGAGTAAAGTTCCATCACAACTTGGGGCGAGTCAACTACTAAATTTTGGAAAATAGTGCTCTGGGTCCCTGTTGACAAAAAGTTTAAAAGGTGCTTTCTGCAACAGAGAAGAAGAGAGTGACGTTTTTAGAAAAATCCGCCAAGAGAGAGAACAAAAAAATCTAGATAAATGTGATTGAAATCGAGAAAATCGGGATGCATGAGATTTGGGGTGAAAAATCTGGATATCCTGATTAAATCGGCATGAGTGGCAGGTCTGAATTAACTAAAATTATATTCCTGAATTATTTATTAACAGAATACTGCAATAGTTTTCTGGGTGCAAAAGACATAATAAAAGAAAAATGAAAAAAAAACACTCCAAAAAAAATTAAATTACCTCTTCAATCAGTTGCCACAACCTCCCTGGAGTTGCAATGATCACTTCAGGTTGCTTTGCAAGAATTCTCCTCTGTTTCTCCACTGACATACCTCCGACAACTGTAGCAAACTTGAAAAGTCAGAAAATATACAGAAAAAAATGTAATCATTTTTAAAAACTGACTTGTGAATCAATGCCTTTAACATATTTAAATTTAGTCAAGAGACTGACGTTTTAGAGGGAAATCAGTGTTACCATAATTCTCCTAACGTCGAGGGGAAAAAACCAGACTTGTAAAATCTGATGTTACAAAGAATGTAAAAATTTGAACTACCTACATACAGGACATTTAGGAAATAACCTACATTAAAACACTTTCTCTGATTATTTTTCCATTGTAGTTAGAGCTACTTCTGAAATCTCCTGAAAAAATATGGGTCCCACCAAAAGTAAAAATCTTTTCAGTAAAAACATTGGAGACTTGAATCCACATTTTTAAATAATACAAATAGAGTGCAGGACCACAATTTCTAAAACTCAACGTGAGTGACATACAAAAAAGCAGACCTTCACATCTGTAAATATTGCCACTGTCTGTAGATGCTTTTTGACTTGAACTGCAAGTTCTCGAGTTGGCTCCAGAATAAGAGCCATGGGAGGGTTGTCCTGTACTGACTCCTGATGAAGCATAATGTAGATGTTGGAAAATATTGAACATTTCTCAAAACAATGCTTCAGATGAAAATTTGGTTCGGACTCAAGTTCAGTTACAGTGCCATGTTGTATGTAATTAATTATGTGGGCAATACTATACACCATGGACAGACATTTCAGAAAACTTAAGAGAGATAACTAACCCTCTAATCTAGTAGTCACACATGAAATTTTTCATGAGGATGTCACTGTAGAGGTAAGGAAACAAGACAAACGTAATAAGAAGTAAAAAAGTCAATATCACTGACTTGACTAGACAAAACCTGCCTTCTTAAGTTTTGTTAAACTTGAGCTTGAGATTAAAAGTTATTATTATAAAACCAAACTAATGACCAGCATAGCTATGAAGGAAACAAAAATAATGTTTTGATGATTACTGACATCATCTCAAAAGAGACAGCTTATAACTTCAATATTCATACCAACATTATGCTACCAGTGCAAGACCTGGACATTAGGTGAAACCTATGAGAACAAAACATTGCATGAGAGATGAAATGTCTCTGCAAATTAAAACCTTTAACATCTCGAGAAGAGACAGGCAGAGATAAGTAGAATTAAGAGGGACTATTGGCACAAAGTCCTGCCAGCGTTTCATAGAAAAACAGAATAAAATGGTTTGACCACATGATACGAATGTCACCAAGCCAGCCTGCCTCGAGAGCCTATAACACCAGGTACTAAGACTATGAAAGAAGAAGTAGACCACGCAAAAGATGGATTGAGGGAGTCAAGTAAACTCTGCAAAATTATAATATCCCAATTGAAAGAGCTGGCCTACCATAGAAAACTGCATCTCCCCTCACGCTTAAACGGCAACAGAGAATGAAAAGGAAAAGAAAAGAAAAGAAGACTCACATCTCCTTTGAGAATTTAACTTTTTGATACCAAAAGCATAAAAGACACAGCATACGGAGTCTCAAAACGCCTTATATTCTACGCTATCGTCAAATGGGTTGTGTAGCATTTGTAAGCCTACTACATCAATGCTATGATATGGGATGATTAATCTTCAAAATCCATAATCATGAATATTATTACATCAAATATGTTTCAGAGTTTTTGAAGAAAATAATTACCACATGAAAAAACCAACCCAAGTGCCTACGAATCACCAAACGTTAAACACTGTGTAATGCATAACCTTTCAGAAAGCTTTCAGGAGAGGGAAAAAAAGCTCAGAAAGCATTTTTAAGATTCCCTCCTATAAGATAAATCTTTTTTACAAAATCAATGTACAACCCAGGCTACAGAAATGGGAAACACTGGTACAAAACCTGTTCAAAGGCATAAGACCTTATCTTTTGTGAATTTCCTCATTCACTTCAACTTACCAGAATGCAAAAACAGAGTAACAGTCAATTTGATAACATTTACAAATGCATTTATTATGATTAAATACCAAACATGTGTTACGGCACGGTGGAATCGGGCGCTCGTCAATTTTTTGGCATGTAGAGTTATTGAGGTCAAGCGAGGCAGGGGTAGGCCCAGAACAACATACTTAGGGAACCTAAACAAATGGGTAACAGGAAAAGATCAGGGAAACGTAGCTTTTTTGAGAGCATCAGTGCAAAGGAACGAATGGAAATCCATGATGGCCGATGTCTGTCGCAAATCTGGCACTAGATGATGATGATGAGAGTTATTGGTATTTAACCCTCATCCTGTGGGAGCCGGGTTTATGCTGCTCGATAAGCTTATTTCGGCACCTCGCCTACGTTCTGGTCCCGAATCAGTGTAGCCCCTGGCTCAGCGCACGTGCAGCGCGCATCCTCTTACGTGTCATTCGGGTCCCGAGTCGGATCCCCATTCACGCAAATCAAGCGTGTGTGCGTCAGTCTGCTTGAGTTTGTGTGCGTTTGTGGCCTTCTTCTAGAACCGCCTGCGTTGTTTCGTAATCGAGGCATGCGTCTCATTCAAAACATGCCACGTTGGTAGCTCTAGATGTTCGTACAATGAAATTATAGAAGAAATTGACCCACTTAGACATAAGGAGCTCGAAAGGATAGTCAGGATACAAGACTTCCATTTTTCTATACAAAATATTTCAAAGGAGCTTGATTTTGTATGAAATGATACTACCTGATAAAAAATAAGCTTGTTTGATAGTTTTGAATACCATTGTGCAGGTACAAAGAACAATTTGAGTGTAAAACATTCGGAAATTGACCTAAATTATCCCCTTTCAAACCTCAGATCATTCATTACAACAAGAGCGTCCAGAGAGGTTATTCGAATGGGCGTAACTACTCGTAATGTCTTATCAGCTTGTGAAAGGGGGTTATTCATGTGTTTGTAACACTTTATAATAGAAAGCTATGAAAGATAGAGCGTTATTTTCATCATCGGTTAACACACACCCGCGGTATTTATGGCGAAAACACACGTTTCCCGGTGCGCATGCGCTGTACACCAACAGTACACACTGAGTGACCCCGGCGGCCTGCCCGGCACGTCCGACGTAATCGGTTGCTGATAAGATATGCATCTGGGCACAGACGCAGGATAACAGTTAAAGCTTGTTCATTTGTCTTGCTTTTGGTGGAAGAAATACTTATCTATCTCGATTAGAAGTCGAGATATTTGCAATTGAAGGAGGTAGGGGACGCCTGGTTTCAGAGGTAAAATTAGTGAGAAAGTGGCTGCCAAAGTTTGATGACTTACAAAGCTTGAGTCTTTGGAAATAGAAAATTTACATTTTTTGTGCCATTAACCAGCGTGTTTCAGTTAAATTCACAGTAATGTGTTTTGTATCAACATGCAAGATGTTGAGTCGATAAAAATTTCCATTCGATCGGAAAATTGTCGGTTTCTTTGATCTCATTATTTTGACGAATGCCTGATTTCATAACGGTGCCTCACAAATAAATACCTGCTAAGTGCTATATACACCTCTACTTTTTTTTACTTTTTCGATCCAGTTACCATTTGAGTTCTAGCCCTTCAGCTGGGTACATTTCTACTAGATAGTGCATAAAATTTATCAGAACAAAATTTTCTAAACTTCCCACTATTACAATAAAACTAACCTCTGATTTCATCTTTTGACCACTGTCAGCTTCCTTTTCTTTCTCATCAGCTTCGTCTTCATTTTCACCATCATCCTCTTCTTGACTTTCTTTTCTCTGTGCGCTCTTCTGTTCTTTCACAGCCAGAATCTTAGCAAGAACAGGGATACCGAAAGCAAGCGTCTTTCCACTTCCCTTATAATAAAAGAAAACATGAACAAATAAGCATACTTAAACTTTAATTTGACTGTGTACAATTAAGCTTTCAGATGCATATGGACATGGAGCACTTATTCAGCACTTAACACTGAAGTCACATTATTATTTATAAGCATAGTCATCAAATCTAAGGAGACCGGTCTTTCCTGATAGCCATAAGTCAAATTGCTTGCAGTAAAGAAATTTTGGGCAAATAGCCAAACTTAACATAAAGAAGAAAAATATGAGAACTTCAGCTGTCTTTATCAATGATAGCCATAAATCAGAAAAATTGTAGGCACACAAGTTACAAGGGAACATCATTTTTTGCCAAGCATGGCATCACTTTTCTTCCAATAATGTGACTTTTATTTGGCTTGACTCATAAGTTCTTGACAGCTTCCTTCCTGGCTCAAGATAATCTGGGTCAGCTGGCACAGACATATTTACTGACAGGCATCAAGTTTGCATTTTTGCCAACATTTGATACAATGTACGTTAAGTTAAAGCCTGATTGTCTTATGTACTTAGAAAAATAACACGCAGCTACCTCATTTCTAAGTGCAGTTGAACTCCAATGCTATGCAGTGAAGAAAACAACTTCGAAGAAAACACTTGGCGCGTTTTATACATACATGAATTATGCTGTATTCGTTGTCAACAAGGAAAAAATAATAAATTCTTCCAAAATAAGAACAGTCAATATGAGACAGAGAAAAACATCAAGAACAACACAATTCTACTACTTTTTTCTGTTTAAATGAAAGTTCTTGAATCTTTCAAAATTAGTACTTCCTTTCATACCGTCTCAGCAGCACCAAGGATGTCCCTCCGGTCTCTGATAGCACTAGGAAGTGCCATCGTCTGTATCACACTTGGGGTTTCAAACCTTTGTTTCTCCAGGGCCTTCAATAAGATATCCGGTACACAGAGATTTGCCCACTGAGACATATCTAGAACAGACATAAATAAGAAATAAATATGACCCAGGTACCCAACAGTAATTGATTTCAAAAGAAGAAAAATTGAAGTAGCATACTTGAAAAACTCTTCAACTTGGATGCAAAGCCATTTTTTTTTAAATAAAAAAATTCTCAAAGGATCCTCTAAACAATTTCAGCTACAACCTGATGTCTAATATAATTTAAAAGACCTTTTCTTTTCTTTACAGATGAATTGGTCGCTTGTAAGAACAAAGCGGGCTAACCCAGATTTCGGGGGTTTCCAGCAATCTTGACCTTCACCAAAAGTGGACATCACCCTCCCTATAGGAGAAGTTTGGTTTCATTGGTGTGTATTATTGTTTGGCTATAGAAAAAACTCTCTTGTCTTTTAAAGAAACTGAACAGCATTTTTCGGGATAGCCCCCTTGTGCTTAAAAGCGACCAATTGTCTGCTTTTTGAAACATAACAAAAGAAGCTCAATGTAGTCATTAACTTGATTTTCAAAGGCTTTTGAATTATAATCGCTGCAGTGCTCCCCATAACAAAAACAGAAACATAATTTTTATCAGGGTAAACAGTGGCCTTTTGCATTCCCCCCCCCCCCCCCCCCCCACACACAAACACTTTAGATTATTAAAAAAATCAAGCCTATTTTTGAGACATTGCAACAACTGGTTTCACACTCACCAATGTCTGATTCTTCATCAGCATTCACAAGGCCATCCTCATCAGAATCAGCGGCATCCATGTTTTCATCACATTCAACAGAATCCTGCTGTGTAGTCTTGTTTACAACCTGCTTTGCTAACTTGTTCTTTTTTCTGCGCTTTTTCTTACCCTTAGAAACTTTGGATTCCCCTGATGTGTCAGGCAATTCTTCAACAGTATTTTCCACAACATCGGTTACAGCTAGGACACTTTTACTTGAAATCATTTCACCATGATCAAAAGCTGTCTTCTCATTTGCTGCAATTGTACTGTTTTTCTTTTTCTTTTTAGCTTTCTTTACATCTTTCTGAGAGGCAATGGATTTGATGTCCACATTCTCTTTTTTAATCATCTTTTCAACAGGTTCATCTGCCACTCCCTGTTTTTCTTTTTTCCTCTTACGTTTTTTGCCTTTCCTGGACAAATTTTCCTGTGTAAAGAGCAAGAAAGAAAAATCTACAATGGTTTGTATTTGAGTGAAACTTCTTTTAGAAATTCCTTATGTTAAGGTAATAAATTAAGAAAAACATTCAGTAAGCCTCTAGAGTTTAAGTGACCAGTCAACTTGGGTGGGAGGGACCAACCAATGCACAACATGACTGTCCTCAGAGAAATTTGTGCTGCGGTAGCCGCTTTGCACCATCCATCTGGCGAGCAAACCGACCCGACCCCCCATTAGTCCTGTTTGGACTGAATCATTCATCTCCTAGCTAGATCTAGATCTAGAGTAAATCAATCGTAAACACAATCGTCTGATTACTTACCATGCTTGGTTGCGTAGCACCAGGTAGATAGATCTAGTATAAAAATTTGTGAAAGACTTTAAATCTTAGGCTAGGAGGGAAACCTAGACACGGATCGACTCATCCAGAAAACCCCTAAAGGGGACATTTGATCCCTGTGTCGAGGAATTATCAAAGCCCACTGGGCTTCCACTTTGTGTTTCTTTTTTTTTTAGTCAGAAAGCTCCAGAAAACACCCATCCAAGTTTGGCGCTCCGTCCCCTCGTACTTTTCGTTCTTGAAGAAAAAAATTTATATTTCACACCCGTCATTTACTTTCTCATACACGCTTGTTTTCTTGCTTCAAACTATTCATCAGTTATGTATAACCAAACTTTGGTATCCTTAGGTTCATTTAAATCAAACTAGAATTATTAGAAATGTCGATTATATATGAAATTACACGATTTATTTAAAAATGATGGAGAGAGACTTTGGAGGTTGGTGCATATTTGACAGGGCGAAACGGGGCAACTTTGACAAGGGGTGGGCCAATTTCGACCTTTCAGCTTCATAAGCAGAATCACCTTTAACAAACTATCACATTTCATTAATCTTGTTTGGTTTTTTTCATTTTCATCATGGGTCAAAATTCCTTGACTGGTCAGATACAAAATCTAGCAGACTTAGACTCTAAAATCTAGACTGCTCAACTATCGCATTTTCGGAGCTAAGCGTGTGTGCAAGAGAGAGAAAGTGTGTGTGTGTGTGTGTGAGTGTGTGTGTGTGTACACGCAGGCCTATGATGTGAGTCTGTGCCTTCATGTGAGCGCGCTCGGAGAATGAGGGAGGGGGGAGAAAGACAGGGAGAGGGGGGGGGGGGGGGGGGGGGCACAAAAGTTGAATAAGAACCCAGTAGTCTACTGTTGAAGACCCGCCCCCTATTGAAGTTGCCCACAGCCCCTGTCAGTCAATATTCTTACTCTTTCAAGCTATGTCGAAGTTGCCCCATGCACCACGAGGGTATAATGCCAAGATCTAATCGAGAAGTAGAATGGCTGCTTGACACAACCATACCAAGATAGTCTGTGTTCTTTCATAAAGGCGGGATCAATATCGGTTACTTTTACGGCACTACACAACAAACCTGTCGAAGTTGCTCCAACCTACCCTACATGACCACTTTTGTCCTCAGCAATCACGTCTGTTTCTTATAATAAATTAATATTAGGAAGTGATTATTCACACCGGGTGTGCGTATAAGAATTAATTTTATTCACACCGGGTGTGTGCATAAGAATTAATATATTAAGAAGAGGCTAGCCGTACTTATTGACGGCTAGACTGCTAGGCTAGCCGTACTTATTTTTAATAGGATGGCTAGACTGACCACAAAAAAAAAAAGGCCTTTTGCAATACCTAAAGTATTTCTATTTGAGACGAAACCCGGTGCCTAAATGTCAGTGCATGTATTTTAAACCAGAATAACTATTAATGAGACCTGTTTTCTAATGCTAATCTAATAGGGCCTAAGATTTATAAGTACATGGTTAGACTGGCAGGCTAGACGGCTAGGCTAGCCGTACTTAAGGGCGGCTAGACAATCAGGCTAGCCGTACTTATTATTGATCTCTGAATTGTAAACGAAATTTTTAGTTTGCAATGCCTAAACTATTTGTATTTCAGACAAAACTAAAAGGTGCCTTACTGACTTGCATGTATTTTAAACCTGAATAATTACTAGATCTAGATCTAATGAGACCTGCGTACTCAACAAGTTTGAGTCGATAGGGCCAAACCTAGATCTAAGTACAGCTAGTCACTTCGTTAATATTATTCACATCGGGTGTGCAGATAAGAAAAAATTCTATTCTCACGGAGTCGAGCCTACATTGATTTTGGACCTTGTTTGTCACACCCCGGTATCCCACCTTTTGGCAAAAGCTTTAAATGTTAAAACAACTGTAGATCTACACCAGATCTAGATCTAGTAGGCTATAATATCACACTTGTTTCAGTTTTAGGGTTAAAGAATGCACTTATCTCTCTCTCTCTCAAGGCGCAAGGGGGAAAAAAAAAAGAGAGATTTGAGTCATTATCATTGACACAATGTGTGTGGGGGGGGGGTTCGTATCGCATTGCACAATTAGAATTAGATCTATCCCTACCAACGATAGCACATAACAAGATTGTTCACTCAGCCCGAAAAGTGTTCGCAGAAGTCCGCGCATTGCTTACTTCAGAGGTTGTCATTATTCTCACCCGCGGTGAGAATAATATTATAATTATTGTTATTCTCATCCCGGTCTGAGAATGAGAATAAAATGGATTTTTATTCTTAGGCCTACCTGGGTGTTGAGAATGGGTAGCCCTACATGTAGGCTAATACTAATAATAGGATGATAGAAAATAATTTGTGATTGTAAGAGTAACCGTTCGTGACCTGCCACAGAGCGCTTGCCGAATTTTCTAGGCTCCCACTGGGATTGTATTGTTTCTTTTTTAAAAATCTTGAGAGTATGCATGCATATCTTCACCAAAACCCTAGACAAGTGTATATTCTAAATTCAGAAAGGAATTCACTTTCCAGAGTAGTATGTTTTTAAAGATAATAGCCTTAACTGAAAGCTATTTAATAAAATAATGTTAGACTTAATAGTTTGTTTACAGCACAAAAAGTTGAAAAAGCATATTATCCCTAACAAAACCCACGAGTATTTTTAAGGCATAGGCTTATCAATAATCTCCCTCCATTCCTGAGTCCTGTACTTCTAAGCGCTCAGAACATGTGCAGGTTCATTGACCGGTCACAATGGCGAGCCTGACAAGACGCTTGTATAACTTTCTTTTCTTTATGTTGCCCCCCTGACAGTGACAAATATTGATTTATTTTCATGGCGACACCACGTTTGTAATGCCGAACCTTCATGTTACAATAATTGTTGCGTTATCAGACAATAATTACTGACAAATTTCTAGGTGGTAACGAAAGCGAAAGTATAGGCTTACTGGACGCTCTATGTGAAATTCAGTGGGTATCATGCTGGACTATAGAGCGGTTGACCCTAGACAGTGCGTCCTCTTCGAAAAAGCACAAACTTTGCGAACAGAGTTACCCTACTTGTGTGAAAAACAATAAAAGTGACACTCTTTTTGGCTGAGTGAACTATCTCTTGGACTCTCCGGTTACCGTGTACGTAGATACTGAGACTACGTGCCCGGTTACCATGTACGTAGACCCTGAGGCTACGCGCCCTCAGAGATGCCAACCAAACAAAACCAAAATGAGTATTGGGAAATATAAAAATGTGTATTTTCAGGGGAAAATGTGTATTCTCCACGACCGACCGACCAACTAGTAAAATGTTCAGGTTGTCCAGCAATATTTCCTGAAAAAAATTTACGAGCTCACCAGCTCAAAAAAGGGAGCACACACGCGTACAATATACATGTATCCAGTCTACAACATGTCAGTGTTCAGTGTCGTACTGGGGTCTTGTTTCACTTAAGTATTTCAGCCTGTGTTATAATATTTTCCACTCATTTATTATTATAAAAAATTAATCCTGTTTTGAGCGTTCGGAAGGGCCTAGAACAAGAATTTCGACTATCAAGAACCAGTCTGGGTGTCATGATTCATGTTATGAACTGACAGACTAAAATTATGGGTCAAACTCAGAGAAGAGTAATAACTTGAAAGGCTCAAGTAAACCCATGCACTGTGAGAGTTGTAACAACTGTGGGAGGGCAAGATGCAGTGACACTGAAAATCTGCCCGTCTTGAACAGAAAGCTACAACAAACACTGTAGGTATAATTTACTATCACCTATCCAATGACACGCGAACATTTTATTTCAATTACACAGACTTGCAAAGTTTGAAGGGTCCCGAGTCCGCACACGGCCTGCATCAACGCGCGCTTTGCAGAGAGCTCTAATAAAAATTCTGAAATTTGCCACCAAGTTTTTGCCCTCTGGTGTTGCCTTCACTCCTCCCCCCCCCCCCCCCACTCCTCGAGTGTATTTTAAAAAATCAATAATCCTCTCCCCTATTCCGTAGTCCTATACTTCGCAAGGCCGTTACTCCCACCAAACACGGTCTTTGCTCACACGAGGCCGCATTTATTTGTGACGCGAATGCGCGCAGGTTCATTGACCGTCACGATGGCGAGCCCGACAATCTAAAAATCGGACGACGCTTGTATTTTCTTTTCTTTTTTTCCTACAGTAACAGTACAAGTAACAGCACAGAGACGAATTCGAGAAATTGTATTTGCACGGCAACACAGCGTTTACACTACACAACCTGCATGTCACAAATAAGTTGCATTATCAGTCTACCGCTTGCAAACTTCTCGGTGGTAACGAAAGCGAAAGTAGATCTTGATTTTCCCGATCAAGCCTCGGTGTCACATACACTTCCGCCAGCCGCCATTGCAGCCTGTTCGCGTGAAAGTAAAACGTACTCTCGGAGGAGGAAAAGCTAAACGAATATTATCACTATCGCGACCGGCAAAAATGAACTTACTGACCTTATCGGACTTGGTTTTCAAATATTCCAGTTCCGCGATACTGATACTATTCTGACAAAAGAGGAGACTTGAGATAATTAGGTTTACTCGCCCAAACTGGATCTCATATTTTTCGCATTCCAGGAATTTCGCAAAAAATCGTACTAAAATACGTAAAATCGTACTGGTTGGCATCTCGGCGCTTTTTCGGTAGTTCCCACCCCCTTTATTTGATTGAGCCTGACCTACATCTAGATCTATATACGTTTGATTCGCGGCAAGCTAAGATATCAAACCTAACAACTGCAAAACATTAAATTGTGGTAAAATTCAGGGGGGCATGCCCCCCTGAAACCCCCCACCTTGCTTTTATTAGGTCAGGGGGGCAAGCCCCCCTAAACCCCCCTACTCTTGGGGCCTATACCGGCGAATAACAAATGCGGGGTGGGAACTACCGAAAAAGCGCCGGCATCTCTGCGCCCGGTTACCGTACGTAGACATTCCGTTGATTTATTTTCATTCCGGTTTCTGTGTACGTAGATACTGAGACCAGGTGCCCCATAACCATGAACGTAGAGTAGATACTGAGACTAGGTGCCCGGTTACCGTGTACGTAGACACTCCGTTAATATCATTATCATTTTAATTTTATGAATGTAAACAAACGGCCGCGTGAAACGGGAAGGCAATTTCCAAAGAGCCCCGGTTCTAGATTCTAGATCTTCTAACTTACCTCAACATCGTCATTTTCAATTTCTTCAGCTACAAGATCATAATCTTCCAATATCTGTATATCGACTAATCCATCAAAAACTTCTGAGTTTTGCAGATCTTGTGGTATTTTAACTGTTTGCCAAGAGCACTTCGCTTTCACGCGCATGGGTGCCGCCATTTTGCGGAAGTTAACAATTTTGATTTACAATTTTCAGGCCTAGACAAGGGCCCAGGGTTGCCAGATTATTTTCAGGCTTCCTGACAAATCGACAACCAAAACCTGCTAAATGGCAACAAAAACTACCATGCGACTGTAAGTCAAGGAGGTTACAGAGGGTCCTTGCTGTAAAGTTAAATTTAATGCCAAACCAGTTACAACACTATAAAATCTTATAACAAGGAAAACGCTGGCACGTGTATGAAACGATTTTATATAAACTACATTGCTAACAATATTTTTAAAAACTCACCACTTCTTGTGGTGACGGGGGGAGAGGAAGGAAGAAGTTGGGGGGAGAGTACAGGAAGGGAGGGGAGAAGGAGCAGGCAAAATGAACAGCCTACGATCCAGATAATAATTTTAACATAGGCCTACATCATAGGCCTACTTAGATTTTGTTACCTTCAAAATGCTTTATCGCTGCCATCAGTGGCCTGCTGTAGCCAAAGAAATTAATCCTGCCATTTTTTCAGGAACTTGCGTTCACTGTCATAAACACCTTTCCACTTTGACGCCATCTCAAGGTTTGCTTGTTGATTTTTTCAGTTTTTTGCGTTTAAAAAGTTTAGAAAAGAGGATGTGCCAGTTAGAGATGTATGGCGCAACAAAGAAGACATATAAAATCATAAAGTCATATAAAGGGGGGAAATTCACACAGCTACGAACCTGCAATAAAATACCCCTGCAGGGCAAAAGTTGTTTTTTTTCTTCCGCTTTTTTGTTTGTTTGTTTTGGGGGCGGGGGTCACCCCATATTTAAAAAAAGGAGATCTATGGTTCACCCACAAATGTCTAAAGCCAACCAAACATGCAAATCTTCTTGTATCATCCACATGCACACATACGTACGATCACATCTCCGCTCTAAATTTCTCGACGAGTAGTACAATGTTCGCCTCAGGCGCAGGGGCCTTATAATGAAAGGATCACACCCATGTGTAAACTTTTCGACGCTTTTGATTTCTACGAACGTTGAACTACAGCAAGGTGTGATTCGGTAGGAAGTGCCAACACGGCCGCATCAGATGGGATAATAATCACATCCAATTGTGATTTCATCGGTGCTTTTGTGTCCCTGACCATCTATAGGTGTGCATCCGAATTTGCTCGACATATTTTGCGCCTGTACTCTGGGACTGTACGATCGCCTTTCATTTATTCGAATTTTAATTTGTGCGTTTACAAAGCAATGTTGAGTTACGACCTGAATATGAACGGTGATATCGGTCAGAGATGAAGAAAAGCAATAAATATTTGACAGGTAAGGGGGGGGGGGGGGGGCAATGAGTGAGATAATGCTTTATTATTATTAATAGTCTAAGTATCCCAACGACACAAGCTAACAATTTTAAATATAGTATTTGAACATCAATACGGTTTGTAAATTTTTATCCCATTTTAAAAGACAAAGAATACTGCAATTATTATTACCTTTTCAATAGTTAAAACCTTTAGTGGAGGGGGGTGCACTTAAAAAAGACAACAAAATTACTGTGCTCAATAATTCATAGACAAAGGCATCATTGTAAGCTAACAGTTAAAGCTGATTTTGACTTTTTGCTCTATAATTTGTTTTTGTGAGAAAAGGCCTTGGCTCTCTTAATAAAAGTGAAAGCTTTTGACCTATTTATCTAGACCTAAGACAACATAGGCCCAATGGGGTTGCAGACAAGGTGGTGCATAATTGGAAAGTGAGCAAATGGGCAATAGGTTTAGTACCTACTATTAAGATTTCTAGAGAAAGTCAATTAAAATCTGCAAGATATCCCGTAATCTACATCTATCAATATGTACAACTGTTTCTTGATGAAACCACATAAAAACTGCAATAAAGTGAAACAATACTAACAACTCACTAAGTTCACAATCTGAAAAGATTTAAAGATTTCTAATTACTTCGTGCAGCACCAGGACTTGCTACACAATAGAGGAAGACAAATCGATATCCATTCTTCATTGAGTTACCGTAGACTCTTCAAGTGTAGTAGATAGGCTCGCGGAAACTTGGATCAAAATTTTAGCTTGCACCAAATTGGTCCTGCGAAGAGGAGTTTCATGCACCTTTCTTCTTGTGCGGGAAGAACGATACCTAGATTTCTCTACAATGACAAAAATAAATTTGGTGCAAAGATTTTGCTCTCCCAGCAGACACTACCGCAAGAAGTGTGACGAGCATAAACCATCCCATAACTCTATGAACCATCCTCGCCGTTTGTCCCTTCATTGGCGCAGCCAGCGGGGTGACGGATCGCAAGGATGTAATAGCCCGAGTGCTATACGTTCTTACTCTCTGACCGTCTAGGCCTAGTGTAATCTAGAGCAGTGACTGGTTTAGAACAATTAGAAAAGGGGTGGGGGGTGAAGGCCAGGGTTAGGTGGAGCGCTTGCACCAATTGCACCAATGGCGCCCCGCCACTGCGTAGACATATAGTCCTTTACGTTCACCATAACACAAGGAAAATAGTAATGGCACTTCCCTTGATTCATGCAATCATTATGTCAAATTTAATACGTTGTGGTATGTTTTAATATAACGAATCCTTTCAGCAGGATATTATAGTAAGATTTACTCTCCTGTCTGCTGTTTAATAATCTTCTGTAACTCCGCAAGACAACTGTTGTTGGTTTGGTTGTTGTTGTTGTTGTTTTTTTTTTGGGGGGGGGGGTTGTTTGGGTGGATGGGTTGGGTGGGGGGCTTCTTCACCCACCGCCTTTCTTGATTTTTAAACTACTGGAAGGCTGTGTTTCACGACTAGATCTAGTAAACATGGGGATCTAAACATAAAGTTCATAGACAGTCCTTATTAGACCCCCCCCCTTTTTTTTCTCGTTCTCTCCCCCCCCCCTCTCTCTCTCTCTCTCTCTCTCTCTCTCTCTCTCTCTCTCTCTCTCTCTGTCTCTCTCTCTGTCTCTCTTTACCCCCCTCTCTCTCTCTCTCTCTCTCTCTCCCACTCTCCCTCTCTCTCTTTCTTTTACTTTTTCTCTCTCCATCTTACTCTCCCAGTCCTGCCACACCACCTTCACCCCTCTTTTTTGCACATATTCCCTCCCATACCGTAGCCCACTGCCCAGGCCTACTATAAATCCTTTGTAAAGAAAAGACTGCAGTTCGCGCTAAGTGACCATAATTGGCGACATTTTGTATGTTCCACTGGGCGTGCTGCGCGCGGTGTCGCAAAGAGAGAGAGAAGGGTCCATTAAAATGTGTTGCTTGGTCTAACCAGAGAGGGTTTACAGTAATAGAGAGGAGAGGTGACACTCGTGGCGGCGCTCCATAACAACAATGCATTGTTTCGCGTAACGCCCGGCCCGGCGCGGGGCGCGAAAACACTTACGCGCGGTGATCGCTGCTACGGGGATGCTCAGGGATGCTGTCATGTCATGAGAAAATGTAGTAACTTAGTTAGATCTAGATCTAGTTCACTTAGTTACCTTTAACAAAGAAGGAGGCCTGTGAATTCTATCGCATATTTTAGGAAACCCCCTGCCTCCCTCGGCCTAAGACTTGTTTTTGGCTTAAGTTAACATACAAATAGACACAGATTGTATCTGTACTTCGTTTCTATAGATCTGAAAAAATCCCACCCCAATATCACCGTAATCAAAGGAATAATTGGTTTAATTTTCAGTAAATCTACTCGTTTTCCAGTGTCCCTCTGTAATCCCATCTCTCCCTCTCTGTCGGTCTGTCTGTCTTTTTTTTTTCTCTCCCTGTTTCTTTTTCTCTCTCCATGTCTCTCTTTCTCCCCACTCTCTCCCTCTGTCTACATGTCTGTCTACCTGTCTGTCTGTCTGTCTGTCTGCCTGTCTGTCTGTCTGTCTGTCTGTCTGTCTGTCTGTCTGTCTGTCTGTCTGTCTGCCTGTCTGTCTGTCTGTCTGTCTCTGTCTCTCTCTGTCTCTCTCTGTCTCTGCCTCTGTCTCTGTCTCTCTATCTCCCCCCCCCCCTCTCTCTCTCTCTCTCTCTCTCTCTCTCTCTCTCTCTGTCTCCCTACTGTCTCTCTTTGCACATGAAGCAATAATGATAAAGAGTTTAAAAGGATCTGTAACACACCTTCCATCCCCCAGCCCCACCCCCCCCCAAAAAAAAAAGAAAAGAAAAGAAAAAAGTGGTAGATCTAATCGGACAAAGAAAGTGGCAAAACCGATCGATGGCACTTTGTATTTAGACAACTTTTCGCAGACCCAGGTAACATATCTTTCACTAGTAGAATGCAAGATCAATTTGGGCATTTAGACAGGGGGGAAAAACACAATTTATAGCTGATATAACACAACTCTTTGGTCTAACTTTAAAGTCACATTTGGCGGTTTTTGTTGCCATTTGGCAGATTTTGGTTGTCGATTTGTCAAGAAGCCTGGAAACTGGAAATAATCTGGCAACGCTGGTGAAGAGTGAAAAGTGAAAGTGAAAGTGAAGACAGTGTATCTTTTGTTGAGTCTGAGCGGTGCTGTTTTTAGTTATTAAAATTGATACTAATCTAGATCTCAAGATCTAGAATCTAGATCTAGATCTAATTTCAATTTAAAACAGAAACTAGACTACCAATCGTATTAGTCTAGATCTAGATCTAAAATCTAGAATCTATTAGACTATGATGAATGACGGCCATCGATTTACGTTGCAACATTTTATGTCTAAAGGCATTTTGAATGCCAAAGAAGTGAAAACAATTTTTAGTCAAAGCAAAGACAGATTTCAAGGGCAAGGTAAAGTATGAGGGTAGATTCTAGATCTAGATTTAGATGTAGATTAGATATCTAGATCTAGATCTAGATTGTACAGCCGAAAGTTACAGAGATGATTATTTTTGGTTGTTGGTTTTAGTTGTTTTTTTTGTTACTGATGTGTATTGTTTTCTTTTCCAAATACACAACAAATTAATGATACTGATATGTTCTGTTTTCAATTTTTCTGTACATAAAACATGAAAATCATGAACTTCGTGTTGAAAAAGTGCAAAACATGTCGCGAATGGTGTTACGGTAACTTGCATAATTTTTGCATAATTTTACTTTTTTGTGTGTGCATAATTTGGCCTAATTATACGGGGACAGATTGTTTTTTAAAATAATTCTAGAGATCTACATCTTAATATTTTGATAAATTACAGCAAGCACACTGCTTGTCATCTGAACGAATCACAGCATACAATGAAATTAAAATGTAGATTTATATATCCAAATTAAAACATTTTGAATGTAATTTCTGCAACTCACACCTTGAGTTAGCACAGTAACTATACAGCACTAGAAATTAGAATCTAGCTTATTTATAGCGGATTTTACCCTTAGCGCCTGTGAGACAAATTGAGATTGTCATTTTGAAAATAAAACACCCAATAAATGTCATTTTGCTCTTTTAAAAAAAATTTTATTGTTGGAATGACTATGAAACTGAAACAGGAAATTTTTTAAAATGTGTCTTTGCTTTATTTATGAGTCAAAGGTCATTTTAAATACATGTAGATGCAAACACCCAAATCCAGTCTTATACATTGATTCCCAGTGGGTGGTTGGCGGATGCTCTGGTGTGGTTTGCTCCCTCTTTCTTGTCAAACATCTATCGTCCTTGTCTCCCCTTCTTCTTTTTTATGTTTCTTACTCTCTTGTAACGCCTAATCTTCTGGCACTCATATGACTTTATGCTGTTGCGAGGGCCACAAAACATCTCTAAAAATTGATTCCCAACTTTCACCAGACTCACAATATTTTGTATTCTATTATAAAATCTTTAAATCCCTGATATGTATACATGTGAAAATAGAAACCAGTACTTGGCTTAAAAATTTTTTTAAAAAGTTTGTAGTTGATTTTGACAGTTTCCTGACCAAGAAAAGTCAAGGTCATTTTCAAGTCTAGTAAGACTGTATTTTCCACTGAGACAACTTCATCTTTTGTACTTTCAACTTATTCAAATCATAATTCTAGCTATTTGTTTAAGTAAAATATGCATAGGCCTACAGTTTTAGTGCCAGTTGATATTTTGTTAAAATTTCAAAAATTATGAACATTTGGAGCCATTTCTATGATTCAGTCTGTGTAAGTCTGTATGAATTGGTGTTTGAATTCTCTTTGCTTCAGACTCACACTGACCAACGTTTTGATGCTAGATCTAGATCTATATATTTTTTTTGGACTAAAAAAATGTTAAGGATGTTGATTTAGAATAAAATTTTTGGCATTAAAATTTTAACATTTTTGTGGATTTGACCTGGGTGTTTCCTAAGTTTTGAAGTAAAGTTGCTTTTTTGTCTATATTTTGCCTGCGCTGACTCTTTTGTATACATTGAATTCCTCTTTTAATTAAAGAGCTTTAATTTGATATATAATATAATAAATCTCTAAATTACAAAGTTAGAAAAAATTTTAAAATTTATATGAAAGTGGGAAACATTTGGGACCTTAATGTGAAAGAACACTTCAAGGCACTGTGGTCAGACTTACACGCCGGCCCATCAGCCCATCAACTCTATCGGTAAGGATGGCTGATCATTTTTCTCTTCTCCTTGTCCCTTGTCTTGAAGTCTTGTTTACTTTTTGTTTTCTATTTTCTTCATTTTTCTTTCAAATTTCACTCTATCTAGACTGTATTTTTATCTGCTGCTGAAAGGATTGATTCCTAATTAATTAAATTTATAAAAGTAAAAGTGCAATTTCGATTTTCAATTCTTTACAGATGAGGAGGATCTGAGAACATTTATCTTGACGATAAATCAGTCTGTGGCTCCTTTCAACCTTGAAATAAAGAAAGGAATTCAAGAAGACGATGGACAAAGTCATTACTGCTTGGTATGTAACCTTATAATTAATCATCTGTACTTTTTGTTGCCCTGAGCTGCATAACTTTATGAGCGTTACTAGGTGACTCAAGTATAAACTTTTCCTGTGATACTGTGAACAATCTCTAATTTTGTCAGTGTTCCAATTTCATAACAAAACACCACCTGTGATCTTTTAGCATTTAAAATAAATCAAAATTCCTGGGTAAAAAATGGTTTTAAAAAACCCAACAATTTAACCTTATCCGTACGCCTGGGGTCATTTTGTACCCCAGGGGTTGTATTCTTCACATTTTAGAATACTGCAAGTGGGAAGATCTGTTTGAAACTTTCTGTATTTCTCAAAAAATCGTTTTGACAGACTGCTATGCAAAGCGTACAGATCGGATTAAAGAGTAAATTTCCTCTTTGGAAAGTGGGGACACAGAGTTCCCCACATCGTATGGGTACGATAGTAAAACATGACATACGGATAGGTGGAAAAGGAAATGCTTATTTGGTCTACCATTTCTCTCGACGGTAATTGATCTCTTTAATTGAAGAGTTAGTTTGTGCTTTTCCGGTTCAGCATCTTTGTCATTCAGTTTTATTTTATCTCTGTGCTCAACGACAGTACTACTCCCAGTGTATGAATTATAGACAATAATTAGAGGAACACTCGAGGCTTACCTGTAAGGTGATGATTGTTTCTGATTTTGACGATCTGTCATCAGGAACGAAGTGGTAACATGGGATGACCATCATGCCTTACCAGTCACACTTTAGCCAGTCACAGTTGTGATACCCACCTTTTTCTTTGAATATGTATGTATACATAAAATGGAATATCAAGCTGATATTTCATATAATAAGTCAGAAACATCTCTGATGCTAACGGGAGGGGTTGGGAGGGCATGTTACCGCTCCGTTCCTGACGACAGATCGTCAAAATAAAAACAATCATCACCTTACAGGTAAGCCTCGATTGTTTCCAATGAGATATGATTGTTTTTCCCATCAATGACGGTCGCAGTAGACTGTTGCTGATCAGGAAGACGTATACTGGAGCCAGATTTGACACTATACGGGGAAAGGATTCCCGTCCGGAACCAGGCTCGTTTCCTCAGCATTATATTTGACTAGAAACTCACATTTATTCCAGACATAAAAGACCCCCGTGTGAGGTGCCAGAAAGCGTTAAAAACTTTGAAAATTTTATCGCATCCGGAGTGGGACGGGGACTCAAAACACCTTCTTCACCTATACATTTCCCTTGTCCGATCCAGGCTTGACTACGGCTGTCAGGTCTATGGATCGGCAAAACCCCACATCCTGAAAATGCTAGACCCAGTACAAAACCAAGGACTCCGCCTCGCCCTGGGGGCTTTCCGCACTTCTCCAGTGAACCGCCTCCTGGCGGAGGCAAACATACCATTACTCACACTCAGACGCACACAACTCTCACTACAATAAGCAATTAAACAAAGCTCAACACCAGAGAACCCAGCACATGACTGTATTTTCAGAACAAACCCAGACACCATTAACAAATTCCAAAACAACAAAAAACTCATCAAACCCTTCGGCCTCAGAGTCCTTGAGGACCTTAAAAACATAATTTTCCAAACAGGACATCCAACAATTTCTTTCCCCTGTACTCCCTCCGTGGCACCTCACCAAGGCAAATATAGACTTACAGCTGACCACACACACCAAAGCAAGCGCAAACACCAAAACATTTAAAGCAGAATACAAAAAAACTTATAGAAAAATACCCAGGTGCTGAGCTAATCTTCACAGATGGCTATAAATCTGACTCCGCTGTGGGCACCGCTGCCCTAACCTCAAACATTACACACCAGAGGAGACTCCTTCCAGAAGCCTTCATTTTCTCTGCGGAGGCCACTGCCATTGACATGGTACTGGACTCCGTAGAAAATTCTCCTGACAAATCTTTCCTTATCCTATCTTACTCACTGTCTTGCATCACCTCACTTACAGACTACACACTCTTACACCCAAAAATAGTTAGGTTACAACAAAAAATACACGTTTTGGCTGAAACCGGGAAAAGTATCGTATTGGTGCATCCGAGGAAATGTGCAAGTGGACGTCCTGGCGAAGGAATTTTTGTCCCTTCTGTTGGGATAAACGACGAACACTCTCCCACAGAATGACTTTAAAAATAAAGTAAAAAACTACACCTGCAATCTGTGGGAGACTCATTGGAAAAAGCAAGTAAAAAACAAACTTCACAACATTAAGCCCAAACCAGGACCGCGAAACCCTTTGGGCCTCTCCAGAAGAGACAAAGTCATTTTTACTCGATTACGCATCGGACACACATCGCTAACGCATAAATACCTCCTTCAGGGAGATGAGAAGCCGTTCTGTGTCGGATGCGACACAGATTTTACCAGCAGACTCATTTTAACTTTGGAGAGACCCGAAGGAAATATTTCAGATGCAAAAATTGTTTTTCGTCGTTGATCCCAACAGAATTCTGGATTTTATAAAGGCCATTGGCCTTTATGGAAAGTTGTGAATAGAATTGTTCAAAATTTTTAATGTTATTTAAAAAGTCGTTTAAAATTAATTTATACACATCAAATTTTTTGCATTTTAGTAGCAGTGTTGTCCAGAATCAGGCTGTGCAGTGTACTGTTGCGAACAGAACCAGCCTTTTTTTGCGCGCTCTTATGACCTTATGCAGTTCCGAGCACAGTAAAACTCTTACTAATACAAAACAATTGACCATGCTATTAATGTTTTTTCTTGAACTCCAGAACTCCATATAATTTGCTGGCAAATCATTTACATTTGTATACTTTTATTTAAAGTATAACAATTGAAATCTTAGAAACTATGATTTTTGCATTTAACAAAGGGAGCGTGGGAAAGCAAGAAGTAAGGTCATTAACTGGATTGACGAAATTGACAAACCTAATCCTACTTGTTAGTTTTCCAGTGAGTACATACTATGTTTTGTTGTTAGAATGGAAGAGCAGTTTTTGGTTTGGACTGATGTAAGTCATGATTTTGAAAGGTTAAAAGTTCGACTGAATATTGTTGATAACTTGGATGCATTGTCTTTCTCTGTTTTGTTGGGGGGGGGGGTTGGTAGCCGTGGCCTATTTTTTTTGGTTTAATCATGCCTTTTTAAAAGTTTTCCTTTTGATCCTGAGATATTCTTTTCTGTATTGATGTTTTTACTTCAAAATGTTGTCTAACTTTTCTTATGGAATGATTGTCTTCACCAGGTGAACACAGTTGAAACTCCTATTTCCAGACTTTCAAGTACTTACACTCTGAATGAATTAGAGCTCTTCAAAAAATTGGTGAGATTGACGAGTATGGGAAGCTGGGTGGAATTCCACACCCACACTAACAGCCCCTAGAGCAAACAGAAACCTGTTTGACGTTCAGCTTTAATTAATCGTTTGTTTCTGTCTGTCTTGTTTTATTTTTAAAGTCAGCTTTAATTTGTGGGTCTATCTTTTAAATTTCACTTTGGCGTGTGTCCTCATATGGGTGTGGATTTGCATCACAATCTTGAATTTTTAATATAGGTGAAAACAGTGTAAGAATAATGGAGAAAAAATGGTGGTATTTGTATAGTCGCGCAAGGATAGTGAACGTACAGCTGCCGTGCGACCTTCGGTTGGTCATGGTCTATTGCCTGTGTAGCCAGTTCACGTTGGCCTAAGCCCTATATGTGAGCATGTAATGTGTTTCAGGACACTACTGACATTGTGCCGTCTTGCTTCTTTAGACCAGGGTAGGGCCTATAGCTGGAGTCTACTCGATGAATTGGAGGCTTGCGAGCAGTAAGTGGCTGGCACCATAGGCTTGCAAGCAGGCTTGTGCTTTGCCTTGTCTGCTTTTTTGCTATTGTGAATTTGCAGTGAGTTGAGGTTTGTGGACAGGTGTGCTGTTCCCTGTCGTGATATCACAAACTCTTGTGTTTTTACTATTTCCCCTTAACTAGTTTTGACGAGTGAACAAAAGCTACATGGATACTGATATATATAGTAATTTATTTTCATTTTCATTCTCAGTTTTTAGATGGAATGTTGTATCTTATGCCCCTCAAAATTCTACCTTCAAATTGTGCCAGTTGTCCCCTTTCACATAAAAGCTAGAGCCGATAGAACCAAACTTGGTAGTTTTGTTCTTAGACATTTAAGAATTGTTCGAAGGGCAGGAATTTCTCTTTCCATTTCCACGTTAGACAGGTTTATGTTTGAAAAAGGAATTTATCAAGGGGGGAGCAGGGAGATTCTGTTATGGCAGGTTTCCGCCTTACTCAAGTCTCGTTAAGGCAGGTTCGACTACTTATATTTATATAATTATTATAAGATCCCACCTAAGATCCCACCACTTATGATTCCCGGTTTGCCTAAGATCCCGCTGTTTTAAGAAAACAGAATTTTTCAGGTGTGGCATCCAAGAAACGAAACTGCCTTTCATTTGAAACCAAACTACTTTTGATAGAGAAAGTCAAATACATTATACATTACTTGCTCTGTGTCGATAATAATATACATAAAAACCTCATGTTTGTTATGACGAACTTTCGGATTCAACGAAATTGAAGGTCAGGCCGGACGATCTCGTTGAATCTGAGTTCCACTGTATTTAGTAGGTGTCTACTTAATGTGGTTATCTTGAAAAGTGAATTATGTGTTCAAATACCACATTTGTACCCTAACCTAAAGGCACATTGAATTTGGCTGAATTTAAAGAAAACTTCCATTATTCTAATGTGAGATAGACATTCATGTTGTGAGAATTATTGTCCATAAGATTGACAAAGATTTATAAAATTGCTTGAAATTTTTTCAATGGAAATGTCAGTTTCCTAGACAGTATTGTTTTCTGAAAATGCATAATAAAAGCTTGTGAAACTCCATTATTTTGAGGCTCTTGTCTCATTTTGAATTCATATGCCTCATGTCCCCCTTTCAGTGCTGAGGTTTGAGGAAAGGCTCATATGTAATTAGGTCACAACGCATATTTTCAAAATGCCCAAAACTTTCTTAATTTTAATCGTACACCAATAAAACCAAGATAGAAAAACGTGCCATGAAAAGGAATTTCTCCTCTGTGTAAAAACACTACTTGTCCTAGATCTAGTTGCACATACATGAGGCAGCGTGGTGAAATCAGGTGCTCGACAAAATACAGAAATCGGAAAAACAGGCAATTTTCTGCCAGTTTGGAAGTTTTTATTGAATTTTTATTATTTTATGTCCATATAAAAACAAATTTTCATGTGAATTTTACTGAAGAACATTAATTAAAGGCATAAAATATGTCATTTTTCTGTTTTTAAAAACTCTTTAGCTGTTGGAGTTACCAAACTTTGGCGGCCTTTTTCTCGTATCTTTCACCACTGTAACCACTTTTTTCAATCACAAATATCTCAATCTCAGGTTCTATGCAAGATAGATGAATCTATTTCATTGAAAGTAAGGCAAATAAATCATCTTTTAGATGGTACCTATAACTCCACATGCTCAAAAATTGACGAAGGCCTGATTCCACAGCGTGACAACATACGTTTTTGTCATAAGACGGCAGAGTTAATTAAGATGGGATAAAGACAAGTTGCTCTGTTTAATATTCTCAGACCTTTGCGTGCGGATTTAAAGGTTGAACGACCAACAGAGTCTTAAAACCCATTAATAATGTCACTGCAAACAAAGGTTCCATAGCATGTTCTGCAATGTTAGCCCGAAGCAGGTAAAAAAATCAAAGGGGATTTTCAGCATACCCTGAAACATAAAAAGTTGACCTTTTTCATTGCCGGTACCGGTAACACCACACTTTAACGCACATCAGTGAAAGACAGTTGAACAGACGAGAGAGTAGATCTACTTTTTAAGATTTTGGTGGACATATCTTGAGTTATGGGAGGCAACTTGCAAACTAACAGCACTGAAATGTGGGGGCAGGGTAGCGTGGCTGTCTCAAAATGAGCAATTTGTAAGCTAGGTTATTGTAAATCTTGTAATATTCATATTGTTGTGATCCTGTGTATGCACCCAGAGAGTGGTGTTTTATACACATCCCCAGTAGACAAACTTTTTATTACGGAATCAAGATTTTTATTTTTAAGTGTTTGGTCCCTTCTCTACAATAGTATCATCAAAAATTACACAGACATCGGCAAGTTAATGAATGAGCTGGATTTGTTTATTTTAATCGCAGTCAGACTAAAGTGAATACGCTATTGAAGAAAAACCAAAGCATTATTTTTCATTGTGTCAACAGGTTGAACAGATTGTGAACACAGAGGATGGCAAGGTTGGATCTCTTGCTGCAGTGAATCTCACAGAGAGGCTGGAGAAAAAGATGGGCAAAGAAGATGCTGAGATTTTCTTTGAAAAACTGGAAAGGGATAAGTGGATTAAAAAGGTATTGAGTGTACTTTCTATTATGTGCTTTTTAATGGGGAACGGGGATGGGCTAATACTAATACATTGAAACTTGGATTGAATGATAGCTGGAATTCAAAGATAGGAAAAGGATTCTGGGTTTTAAAAAACGAAGTGTATACAGACGGAACCGGGAACAAAGTCACGAAGTATACAGACCCGGTAGGGGAACTCTTTTGTGATGTCGGAAAGTTTCAGCGACCAGACCCGGTAGTGTGTGTGTGTGTGTGTGTGTGTGTGTGTGTGTGTGTGTGTGTGTGTGTGTATGTGTGAGAGAGAGAGAGAGAGAGAGAGCAGGGGGGGGGGTGACTGCTCGATTGAAATTATGACTTTGTTCTTTTCTTCAAATTGTGATTCCTCCAACTCCAAAAATGGGGGAAAAACAATCGTTCATCGAAAAGACATCTGCAATCTTCATTTACATCTAGATCTAGGCTAACCTCGCAACTAGATCAATGATTTATGTCTGTCTGTCTAGATCTAGACCTAGGCCATAGAGCTAGATGAACCTAAGCTCCTTGGGTCCTTGGGGTTACTTTAAGTCCCTGAGCCAAGAGGGCACTGAAACTTTCCGAAATCTCAAAAGAGTTCCCCTACCGGGTCTGTATACTTTGTGACTTTGTTCCCGGTTACCGGGTCTGTATACACTCCCTTTAAAAAATTAATTAGAATCCAAAAAATAATCGATTTTAGGGAGCAAGTGACTTGGTAAATGCAATTTACAGGGCGATCAGCCCCCGTTGATGTGGTTTCATGCATTTTTCTTCCCTAAACTAACTTCATCAAGACTAGGCTGTTCCATAAATGCCCTACATGTATTTCCTATCACTCACTGCACACTATGCCAACCAATCTGGCTATTTTCCACACCAACAAAATATGCATTGTCGATGCACACAGTCCAGAAACTGCCCATTCAAAAGTCATCTGTCTCTCGAGAAGTCAGTACCTGGTACTGTAGTTGAAGTAGAGTACAAGTTTTTACTTTAGCAATCAGTGAAAATTCCATTTGGTTAGGTCTACCAAAAAATGGCACGACACAAGTTCCCTTGACTTTAAAACATTCTAATTTATCTAATGTCATACAGTGGAACTCGGATTCAACGAGGTCGCCTGGCCTGACCTAAAATATCGTTGAATCCAAGTGTTCATTATAGCAAACACGAGGATTTGTGTAGATAATTACAGGCACTGAGCAAGTAATGTATAAAGAGAAGTCACAAGTAGTGCCTGAAATGCCTGCATATTATGAGCTGTGTAAAAAAGAAGACCGAATCGTTCAAATGCACACGCCTGTGTCATCTCGATTCTTTACCAAAATGTTGTGTTGCTATGTAGAGCCTAGCATACGGCAACTTTTGATTCCATAGACCAGCGCACAATTCATTACGTAGATCTACGTCAAGACTAGCTTATTATTGTAGCAATGATCAGTTGCCGAGGGAAAAAAGACTGTGATGCGTTTGAATAATGGTTCATGATGCAGGTGCAATGAATGAATTCTGGGAATAGATAAAGTTCATTGTGGGAGTAAAATGAGTGAAGCCATGTTTGCGGGGGCTGTTTACCCTGGAAGCGACCTTGTTAAATCGGAGCTTGCTGATTTAAGTGTTCAATGAATCCAGGTTATTTTTTTTTATTTTAAAGAAGAAAAAAAACAGGGAATCCATCTCCTTATGTTGAATCCGATCTCGTTGAATCCGAGTTCCACTGTAACTGTAACAGAAATGGTAAATTAGAGTGAAACCAGGTTATCTGATGGACCATTTTCAAAAGCTAAAAACTAAAAAGTCATCCATGCTTATTTGTAATCTGCACACAAATCTTAAGAAAATGAGGGTAGCATTTCTTGAAATTATAAATATTAATAATTTTATTACTTTTCGAAAACTTGTATAAATTAGGGAAGGAAAAAAATAGTCAAAATAACAAAGTTAAAAAAATCATTAAAAATGTATTATTTCAAAATTAGAAAGAGTCATTTTATTTGAAATTGCATGGTGCCTTTACCCTCCAAATTTCACGTCTTTATGTTGAATGGTTTTTGAGTTTTGAGCTTTTAAAGCCTAAAAATTAGCATTTTGTGGAAAGGAGCAAAAACATATCAAAATTGTTTTAAAGAATTGTTTTGGCTCACAATGTTCATGGGTCTCAATATTCTGCTATTTAGCAGATTTCCGCTACCGCCATTTCCTCCGCTTAACTCTGCTACCGCTACAACGGGCCAATAGGAAAGAGAGTTGTTGGGAGCAGGGTGACTGCCCGGCCCCGCGAATTTGAAAAAAATCGAAGAGACCAGGGAAAATACATAAAAGATCTCTAATATTTCAATACCGAATTCAATAACGTCTTTAAGTTTATTTCTGCCAGTAGCGATTGTGATATATTAATTCGGCTTTATGGTCTGAGAGTACGTTTCTTGAGAACAGGCGGCTAAGGCGGCAAGCGGAATTGTGTGTGACAACGAGGCTCGGCCAGAAAATCAAGATCTACTTTTGCTTTCGTTACCACCCAGAAATTTGTCAGTAATAGTCTGATAATACAACATTTGTAACATGCAGGTTCGGCATTACAAATGTGGTGTCGCCATGAAAATAAATCAATATTCATCACTGTGCTATCACTTGTGGGGACCAAAAAAAAGAAAAGAAAGTTATACAAGTGTCTTGTCAGGCTCGCCATTGTGACCAGTCAGTGCACCTGCGCACGTTCTGAGCGCTGCGGGAGAAGTGCAGGACTCAGGAAAGGGGGGGGGGGGTGGATTATTGATTCTTTTTATAGATACACTTGGGGATGGGTGGAGGGCTGGACGCAACACCAGAGGACAACAAAACTGAAACTGGAAGCAAATTTTTAATATTTAGAATTTTGATTACTACTAATCTACAGCTCTCTCCAAAGTAGAGTGCATATTGGTGAAGGCCTTGTGTGAAATCGGAAACCGTCATAACTTGTGAGCGTGTTATTGAACTTAGACTGTGTTCGCGTTTCATTAGACGGGTGACAGTAAATTATATCTCTTTATATTTTAGCTTTCTGTTCAAGATTCGCAGATTTTCAGTGTCACTGCACCTTGCCCTCCCACAGTTCTTACTCCTCTCACACTGAATAGGTCTACTTGGGCTTTTCTACTCTACTTTGACTTTGAGTTTGAGCATTAATTTTTGTCTTTCACGTTTATTATATTATTATAGGCCTATGATATGAATCATGACACCCAGACTGGTTCATGACAGTTGATATTCTGGTTTTAGGCCTTTTCTCGGGCTCAATACAAGATTCATTTTTATATATATATAAACAGGGGAATGTGATGAAATGAAAATATAAATAAGTCACACAAGACCCCAGTGCGCCACCACTTTCTGTTCATAATCAAGATTGTAAATATTTGGTAACTGACTCTTACTTGAAATTATCTCCCAAACCCTCAAATTGGTGTGAACTAGCCTTTCTTTGATAAATTGATGGTTTTTATTTCAGCATTCTAGGGTTCAACAGTATATGTTGTTGTTGTTGTTGTTATCGATCCAGCAACAGCTGGGCTGTCGCCCTTCTGTCCAATGCCATGTAGTGATAAGTGCAGGTCTTCTGCAGTTGCTGTAATGTTCCATAGAGTGTGTTGTCTATGTTAGGTCTCGGAGGGAGAAGGGTAGCATGATGTCATTTAGGGGTGTGCAGTGGAACAGGTGATGCTCCACAGTCTCATATGCATAGTCACACAAGGGACACATTGGGGGAAGTTCCGGGTTTATTCTGTTCAGGTGGAAGTTGAGCTGTTTATGTTCTGTATATAATGATGCGTGTTTCGCGAAAATTGGCTTCTGTCGCGATTTCCCGGAAAGTAACTTCCTCCTTTTTTTTAAATTCTGAGTTGGGACCCATGACTGTCACAAACTTTATGGAGTTATCTCTTTGAAATAGAACTTTGGGAGTACTGCCATTTGATTTAGCACATAATTTTCAAGGAAGTTTGTTGAAACCTAAAAGAACATTTTCGAGGCCCAAACTGGACATATTTCCCATAGGCATAAACGGCTCCTGCAGGGAGTTGAAAAACCTTCCTGTGTCAAATGCAATACTGATTTTACTATAAGTTAAAAGACACACATACTGATAGAATGTCCGAACCTTTGGGAGAACCTAAGAAAGCAGGCCTATTTAAAAATAGATTTAAAGAATTTGTTCTCCTTTGAATTTATTTATTACTAAATTTTTACGATATACAGTCAAACCTGTGTAAGACGGTCACCCATTGTCAATGAGAAAAGTGGCCGTATATGACAGGTGGCCGTCTTAGGCAGGACTGATTAAGATGAAGAAAACAAACCATTCCCATCTGAGGTCCTAATCGAAAGTAACCGCATTGTTGTTGTTTTTGTTGTTGGTTTGTATATTTAGTTTTTAATTTTTATTTTGTTGCTGATTTTGCACACAAGGGTGACAATAAAACGAAATGTATCAAACGAGGAAGACCGCGTGCCATGTTAAAACAAACACATGGGTTGCCACCACTCGGAGAACGAGGGACGCTTCTGTAACAAGTTCATGTTGGACGTCCTTTGTTACTTTGTTACAGATTGGGTAAACAGTGACCACTCATCTCACTTACAATTTGTGTATGAGTTCTGGGCGGGGCCTATGGGTTATGAGGGATCACATGCTTACCTCACCGGTCTTATGCAGAGTTATGAGCGCCTAAAAACTTTTTTCAAACTATAATTTAAAAATGTATCATCCTTATCTCGCTTTCTTCTTTTCTCTTTATGTTGCTCTTTAGTACAGTGGAAACCATATACAGTAGTCTCCGCGAAAGATCCCGGTGCTTGGGAGCAAGGAAATACGGGATCTTAGACGAACCGGGATCTTAACCGACGAACCCAGGGAAGAATCTATGGTGACCCATGCTAAGGCTCACAATCTGTAAAAAGGTCTCCCTCCACTCTAAAATGAACTGACGTGACCGCTTGGTGGGTTTATGACGTATGGCGAGCAAAGAGTGGTTAACCTTGATGACCTATCACAGTGCATAGTGGGATGAGGCGTGCTATTTTCACTTATTATCCTATCATGAGTCTCAAGATCTATGCTTATCCAGTAGCCCCCCCCCCTTACCTGTAGAAAATTTATAGCTTTCCATCTCTGACCGAGTCTCCCCAAAAAAAAAACAACCCGCCTTTGTCGTTACACACCATTACGTTGGGAATACATCAATTAAAATTCAGCCTGTCTCGCAAATTCAGGAGAAGAGACAACTTCTGCAATGGTCAGGGAAGAGTTCACAGTTCAATGTGATCCCGCCAGGAGCGAACGTGTAGGCCCTACCCACCCAGCGAGTGGTGTAAGTTTTGGGGGAGAGCCCAGGTGTGAGTGCGATGTTCGGGGAAAGCAAACGTGTCGGTCAGTTCACACCCCGGTGTGATCCCGTCTGGAGCTCACATTGTATCGCTTCATCGAGTTTTACAACGTGTATCTGATCACATTCACGATAGTGGCTGATCTTTGACGCGACGGACAGTTTATTGATCTCATCTTTTCACTCTTGGTTGATCGGCTGTCCTGCACGGGTTTTTGTTCCGCAAATTATGATCTGAAATGCGGAATCTTAGCCGAATGTAGACTTTCAGAGTGAATCAGAGCGGGATCTTAGGGGTGACTTTTGTATAGTTAAATTCTGTTTTCTTAAAACAGCGGGATCTTAAGCGAACTGGGATCATATGCGGTGGGATATTAGGCGGAGACTACTGTATAACAGGCCTGGTAATAAGAGGGATCCGGTAATAACAGAAATTTTTTAAGTCCCCTTTTTTTCCTACTCTTCTGTCTCTATTAAAAGTTATCGGCAATAACAGGGCCTAATCGGAGCCCAATCAGTTATAACAGGAACAAAGGCTCTTTAACAATATGTAAAAAGTAAGAAAGAGAGAGAGAGAGAGTAACGCAGTGATGGAGCAAGCCCACGCCACTGCAAGCACATGCAGCGGGTGAAGCGAGCACAGTATCTATCCGGGGATGTCTCCGAAGGAGGTAGACCAATCAAAATGCTTTTGTCTCTGGACTAAGTAAAATAAATCGGGGGTGGGGGGGGGGTACAGGGGGGTGTTTTAACTCATAATTTGACAGTTAGCTTTGACAATTTCTTGAAAATAATTGATGTGCGAAAGTTTTAGTGGCTATATGTGTGATCTGCAGCCAATAATATGCAGTTTGATTCCCGAAGCACGTCTCCAAATAGTTCCTGGGTGCTCGCCGGAAATGTCTCCGAATGTCTTCTACCTGATGCGAGAGATGGCTGCGGTGTGCTGCAGACTTTGATTGCCCTAAACCTAGCTGAATTAGTCCAAAAATGTTTAGGCCCCTATTTCTATCGCATTTCTGATTTAAGAGGGATCTGATATAACAGGACTATTTCTTTAGTCCCACCATCCCTGTTATATCAGGTTTCCACTGTTGAACCTCTAATCTTTGACACTCTATAAATTGTGTTGCAAGTGCTGTGAAACTTTTGTCAACATACAGTGTTTGTTATGTTCCTGATTTCTCACCCGTTGTTGTTGTTTTTTTTTTACAGGATAAGAATGGGAAAATATCTTTGTCTGTTCGGTCCTTACTGGAACTGGAACAATATTTAAAGGAAGTGTATGCTGACTATGTGAAGTCGTGTGGAATTTGTGACAAAATATGCCTTTTGGTGAGTTATGTGTGCCTGAAATACCTGTACATAATTCAATAGACTAACAGGTGCTTTTCTCACTGTCTTTAGTTGTCTCACTTCCTTTTTATTCTCAGAAAGTGTGTCTCAATGTTCATTCCAAAGCTTCTTTTATTCTGTTAAATTTCATTTGAAATAGCCCCCATTGTTTAGTTTTTATATGCCCTCACTCAAAATAACTTTTGTCATGTGCTCAATGACGAAATTTTTTTGTGTTTGATTGGAACTGTTTGACTTTTTTTTAAATTTCAAGTCTGTCTTTTCCTTTTTTTTGTGGGTCTTTTGGGTACAGATAACATGAACATGATGCAAAACTTGAAATCACGGATAACTCGTATAATTTGACATTCTCCTTTTGATGTCTTAAAATTTTTTCTCTATCAATTATCCTGAATTATGGATATATTTATATGCGTCAAACAATAACTTTGAGGGGGCATCAACTTTTGTGGCACACTGTGTGATCCTAATTTAAAGGAAACAGATGTATATTATGGGACATCACTCTAGAATAATCTTGCAGCCTTGTGAGAGTAGTTACTTTACATTCCCTATTTGTGTCTCTAGTACGAGATAATGCAGTGGCCGCGGTGACACGACGGCTGCACTTCTTTTTTTTTTTTGGTAAGTGTTTTACGGCGTTCGCGACTGCATGCAGCGTACGGTCATATGAGCGCGCAGGCGGGACACATCAAACATTTTTAGTTGGTCTAAATAAGCACTCCCATCTTTAAAAAACCCAGTGAACTCTTTTTGTAAAGTCAAGCCTGATCTAATCTTTGTTGCTCCATTACAGGGGGAGACGTGCAGCAGCTGTGGAGTGAAGCTTCATCTTCAGTGTGCCAAGAATCTGTTCTCTAGACAGGGTGATGACAGGAAATGCCCTAGTTATGACTGCCGAGCACCGTGGGGAGAAGTGGTTTTGTAGCTAAGGGATTTTTTTCCTTCTCTTGTGTCGAGGATAGACTTTAAAAACTTTGTGACATTGTCAAAGTTGAAGTTGACAGATTAGTTTTGTTGAATTTGACACTTTGACACTTTGCATAATGTACCCTCCCTATAACGGGTTGCCTTTATTGTGTCCAGGTCTAAACAACTTTTTTATTTTTTACTGTCCATGTAAAACCAGACTGCTGGCATGTGATGAAGTTGATACAGTTAGTCAAGCCTTCGAGTTACTCTCTCAATACCTCTGAAGTTTTTTGACAATTACAATGACAATCTTTATTAATCTCGCAGGGGGAAATTTGTCCTGGTCATTTACAATGGCAGTAGATGTTACAAAGGTTAAGTGCACTCACGCATACGCACAACAAGACGGAACGTTAATAAATAGATGTCTCATGTGCTACAAACCGCTCCGACCCGCTCCGTAAAAACGTTCTCTCTCTCTCTCTCTCTCTCTCTCTCTCTCTCTCTCTCCCTCTCTCTCTCCCTCTCCCTCCTCCTTCCCTCCCTCCCTCTCTCTCTTTCTCCCTGTCTCTCCCTCTCCCTCCCTGTCTCTCTCTATCTCTCTCTCTCTCCCTTTCACTCCCTCTCTCCCTCCCTCCCTCTCTCTCTCCCTGTCTCTCTCTCTCTCTCTCACTCTCTCTCTCTCTCTTTCTCTCTCTCTGAGATGCTGATTTTTAACCCTATCCGTGTATGTCGTGTTTACTATCGTATCCGTATATTATGACATAGGGTACTCTGTGCCCCCACTTTCCAAAGAGGAAATTCACTCGTTAATCCAATCTGTACACTGTGGGGTAACGTAAGTCCCCAAGTATTCGAACCCACAGCTGACTGGAATCGAAATGCTTTATAATCCAAGATGATGGGAACTAGTTTTGTAGAGATATCATTCTAATTCTATGCGTCAAGGGTTCAACTCGCGAACACTAATGTCGCTCAAGTCTTCATATTTCTCAGAAAGTTGGGTCTCTCAGTTCTAAAAACTTAGCTTTCTTACATCTAGACCTAATAAGGCAGGGCAGAACTTTCTCAAGTAAGGTAATCGAGTCCCATTTTTGTGTGGATCGTAAACCTAATTTTGAATACATCTTCTAGATCTAGTACAGTGGAATCCTGTTATGATGAGAAGGAGGAGACCAGTGCGAAATGTCCGTTATTATAGCAGGATTCTCGTTATAAGTATAAAGGATGCCGTAATAAATTTAACGCAAATAAAGTAGGCCTGATCTATGAGTTTGGTGTTCTGTTTATTTCTTTTTATTATCTCCCCTGATTATGATTCTGATCAACATGACCTCTATAAGTCTAAGTCTTACTTGATCAAAAATCGAATCAGGTTTCTTTCTTTAGCCCTAGCGATGTTGACAGCTCGACGTTGGCGATCAGAAAGAAAGGGCTCAAGGCTAACTGGCCCGCTGTGTTGTTCCCCACCTCACCACACCTTGTGGTGCGTTCCATCTGCTTGCACATTCGCTCCATACATCACAGCATTGTGACCTCTCCATCCCCGCATTGGAGAAGTCAGAGGCATCGTAGGCCTAGATAATCTAGACTAGGCTGGCCTATCACGCGATGCGTTCTGCTTATCTGCGCATGCCATACCCTCTCCACTCATTCATTGTTCGCACACATGAGCTCTCCCATTCTTTGTTTTGCTTGATCACCAAAAGTTATTCAACTGGCAAGGGTGTCGCATTCAACGAGGTTTCCGGGACAGGCTCGTTGTCCTCGTTGGATCAGACCTCTTGTTGAACATGCCTAAAGCTAAAGTAAAGAAAAGAAACAAGTTGTTATATTACACGATGTACCAGTACCAGTAATTAAAATAGTTGTTCCCCCTGATTACGATAATCTCAAACAGCATCAGTGTGCGCGTGTTTGAGTTATGTTCTGACCGTCATTTCTGCATTTTCTTGTTAGGAAACATACCCTCTCACATCTAGGCCTAGATCTACATAAAGCAAAGACGGGTGCTTGGATTTTCTGAACAGGGGAAGAAAAGAATACTGAAAAAAATGAAGGTCTCGATCTAGACCTAACAAGAGTTATTCCAGTTTCACACAGCCCGCGTCGCGTTCCCACCCACTCCCTCCCATCCCTACCGTACGCTAACCCTCGCTCATCCTCTTGGCTTTGGGGCCCATATTAGGAGGCACACCAGATCTAGCAAAACAATGTGTTAGGAATCGAGGATGGGTCTTGTGCTTCGCGTGAGATGGAGAGAAAGGCGAAAAATTCTTCGTTTGGGGCCGCTAATTGCTTTTATCTGGTTATCGCGACCTCATTGAAAGCGTCTTTGGTCTGTTTGCAACCTCGTTGAAGCGGACGTACATTTACAAAGGGATGGAAGAAAAAAATCGGGGATTAAGGATTGCCTCGTTGGAGCCGATTTCTCGTTGAATGTGACCTCGTTGAATGCGACACCCACTGTAATATATATGTATAATTGGCCTGTGCGCTGTGCACAGCAGCAGCAATATTCCGCTATAACCGACTCATATGTTCGTCTGATGGCGCCATAAGCAGTCTTTATTTTCAAAGATAAAGAAGGAAAAAAAAACAGGGTTTTAGAATAGTGCCTTTATAACAGACTTCTCGTTATTTCAGGACTTGTTATAAGTGGACTCCACTTTATTCAAACCTCATTTTTTTCTTCTTATAGTTGGATTCTATTGTTGTTGTTGTTTCACATGTTAATAAAATCAGATGATTTAATTATCATAGAAACCTATTTTTTCTCGACTTGTGAACTTTCTTGACTGGAGCTTGGGTTCTTTGAAGTGGTTTTCTCCTTCTTTCTGACTTTGCTATCGTCGTTTTCTGCTCTTTCCACTCGTATGAATTAAGATTTAGACTTATCGCTCTCTCCTGTTCTTGTTTTTTTAAGTTTTAGTAAGAGTTTTACGGCCCTTGCAACACAATAAGGTCATATAAGTGCTGAAGATTTGAGGTGTTACAAGAGAGTACCAAACACAAAAAAGAAGGATGGGAGATAAAGACGATCAATGTTTGATTGGTTTGTCCCTGAACTGGCCTGGGCTATACTATGTGCCAATCGTAGGCTAACATAAAACCCACAGGACCCGTCGGCTCTGCTGTTTTCCTGGGATTTGTCTTCATTGTCCTGTGCCCTGACCGGGGTGCTTGATTGTTTATTGTTTTTTTATGGAACTATCGACACCAGGAAACAGAAGAAGTAGAGCACATCCGAGCGCCCACCAACCTCTTGTCCTTACAAATCAACAAGAAACAAACAAAAGGGAATAAAAATGGGCAATAGAAAACTGACAATGTGTTGTAGGGCCCACATATTTTATTTGCCATACGGTAACAAATATTTCAAACAGGGCCTTCAGAAAGTAAGGAACTGAGACATACTGTACTTCTTAGTGAAAACGATACATGTAACATGAATCATATCTGCTTCGACTCCTGTGTTTGTTTTGTTACAACTTAGCCCCATACACATATGTACAAGAAAGTCTCTTCAACTTCAACTGGAGTACCATACATCTCTTGCAAATGCTGCATGCAACAGATCTGCTGTACAAAATCGCGTACAAACGGACATCTTGTTTATTAAAAGGTGCTTTGAAAAGTAGCATGCACTAGTCCAAGTCCAGAGTTCCCTGTTTACAGGGGGCTAGGTAGGCTGCTTACTTCGCTCTGCACTGTAATTATTCCTTGCTCCTTCTTTTCTATGATTCTTTGTGTTACATTGTAACTATTTATCACGCTCACGGGGATCATGCGGATGGTTGTCGAGAGATCTGGTGTGGTCTGCCCCTTCAACTTCTTTCTTCTACGTCTTACTATTGTCCGACTACATGTAGGCCTACTTCCTGATGCTGAATTACCTTACTACAGGCTTGATAAAGCCTTACTCGATGTCAATTATGGCGAAAACAATATCACCATCACTGCCGCCACAACCACCGTCATAGTCATCAATGGGAGCTAAAACATCAAAACTACCACCATGATCGCCCACCGAAAGCACTACACCACCATCAACAACGAACATCAACCTCTACTTTTACCATGCACGCTCATCAGCCAATAACCCCTAACCGCCTAATAATACTAATAGATAATAGTAATACTCATGTACGAGGTCTGTCCCAGAGATAATACATAAGTGTAAGTTTTCCCTGTTCTGTAAAATCAACACTATGGGTGTATTCATGGGATCCAGATCTGAAAAGACAATTAGCAGAATGGAGAAACCCAGGATCACCGCAGCTACCCCAGAAGCTCGACGCAAACAAGGTGCTTTGAAAATGATGCACATTGTGTTTTTCAAACACAAAAGTCTGATTTTGAACAGGCTGGTTCCCGTTGGCACATCATGCAATGTTAACTAATATTAGGCCTACTACAAGATAATTCCTTAAACAAAGCTGAGACCAGCAGTCAGATCAGAAGAAAGCGGCCGGGTCTTCTTGAGCAAGGTGTTGTCTTCCATCGGTCCATCATGACAACACGCCTGTGCACACTGCTCAAACAAAGGTCACCGATCTCCTGGACTCCCGGCAGTGGGAAATCCTTGAACATCCCCGCTATCTGGAGATTTACACCATGCAGCTTTTATCTCTTCCCCAAATTCAAAGAATTGAAGCTGAAGGACAGCAATAGGAAGTCGAAGAAGAAATTATTGTGCTCTAAACAAATGTTGCGTTAAGGACTCTGGCCGAAGCGGACAAGGTCACAGCGTTTGACCGCCGGCTAAATTGGATGAAAAAGTGCATTGACTTGATACAATTACATAATAATAAATGACATCATTAAAATTTATATAAGCACTCAACCCCGAATAATATAAAGTACACAGGCTCTGAGCGCTTTACAATACAGTACAACATACAACAGTAGCAAAATGTTACATAAAACTAAAACGTTGTGTTCTGACTAAAAGTAAAAGAAAATTAGTCCAATTCTTCTTATTCATTTAAAAACAGAAACGACTTCAGCTGACATTTGAATGGATCAAAATATTTGATCTCTCTTAAAGTTAAAGTACTTGGTAAAGCATTCCAGATCTTGGGGCCTTGATATTCAAATGCCTTTTCACCCATTGTTCTAGCATCTGCGTTTGTCGCGGCTGCGACCTGCGAATCGGCGATTTTTGGCATTATTGCGGCCGCGATTTTTGCTTTTTTTATTTTAGAAGAAAAGGCTACTTCATAACATAGACGTGTATTTTGATAATTTTAAGGTGTCCATATAGAGGCTACAGCTATTTTCACGCGAAGAATAATAATAAGTAAATTACATACTATTTATTATTGCTGTTGGTCTTTTATTTTTCCCTCTTTGTTGGTGTGTTAATTTTGGGGGGGTTATTGTCCTCTATTTGTGTGTGTGTTTATATTATAGCGTAATGCCCTTTAATTTAACCATTTG